AAATAAATTTATGAAAAGGTTCATCCGGAGAAATTGGGAGAAACGACATTTGTCAGTGACTTTTTGGGTTACTTTTGGTTTCAGAATTGAACGTCGTAGAAAACTGCAATACTTTATCAGGACTTCAAATTGCTGCGTTACTTCAGTAGGTTGTGTTTCGTTATTTGCTTCACTTCATTTGTTTAGTTTGTCAGCATTTCCTCAGCGATTAAGGGTCTTAGTTTTGTTGCATTTCGCTCTTTCTTTTATAATTTTCATCGTCACACGTATTCAATTATGAATAAAAGCGTAAATAATGTATTTCTCATTGGTTTGTTCTCTATGAAATAAACGCTCAGTATTGAGTGTCACTTGATATATTTTAACGTCCGGGAAATTTTCTTAGAGATCCATGAGGCTGTTCATACGGCTTGTATATCGTTTATTTGGTAGCTCGAGTTTTTTGCGGCTAAACTTTAATATAAGTTCGAATCGTAGATTCAAAGTAATAATCACAAATGACTTGAAACTGTTCAAATAAGTTATATATAAATAGTACTAATAAGTGAATAAATGTTGTCTGTGCAACACATTTGGTGACTGTCGCCGACAGAGGGTCTTAATTTCAATCAGAATACTCGTAGACTCATTCTGCTTGTCGTCCATCATATTAGTACTGCAATGTATCATCTAGCGGGCGATACGCTAGTGGTAAGGCAGCTGAAGCACTGTATGCGTTTCAGACCTATTTATATTTCAAAGGGTTTTTAGTCATATTTAAGTTTCAAATACTGTTTAATCTTACATTTAAAATTGTCATCGCTCATCTGCGTACATAAATATACTGTATTTGGTGAACTTATTGATTATATTTTTCTGAAACCAGGTGCTCTACAACTAAATTTTTAAAAAAATCTTACGTTGCCTTTTTATTTATCGTTATAAAACTTGTGTGTGGTTTTTTTGTGATCAATACTTTATGCTTTTATTTTGGAATTACTGAATGGTTTGGGTCACTACAACTCAGTGACTTAGATCTTAGGTAGTTTAGATTTCAACTCCTTTTCAGTCAGTCAGTCAGTCAGTCAGTAACAACGTAGAACTTCGTACGTACGTACATCAGTTCGAGTTGCCACACCTCATTAGCACAGAGATGCAGTGGTCGATTCAAATTCCGTAGTGCTAGATATAGTAAAATTACAAGCTGTATTCAGAAAAATTAGGGTTTGAAGATGTTATTCAAGGAGTATAATCCAGTGAAATAAATTTGAAAAGAGAAAAAAGAAAGGGACATGAAGAATTCAGAAGATTAGAATTTGGGAGAACACAAAGAGTGGATGCACCTGCGCCATTGCAAACGATTTTGAGCCATGTCATTCAGGTTCTCTAACCATTGGTTGCTATCATCTCGTGGTCTCCAACCAGGTAGTCTACACCTACCAACATGAATCAGTCCACTTGTCAGTGACTTCA